TAAAGCTCCGTGCCCTGTACGCCAACGGTATAAAGGGGTTTACCTATAAGGAGTTAAGTGCAAAGGGGATTAGAATAACGGGCTAGGTAATAACGGTGTAAACACTGAATGGGCTAAACCGAACGACAGAACGCAGCTCGGTCATCACACGCGAAACCACCCCAATGCGCATATGTGAACTCGAAGAAGCAGGCTAAACACACACATTGCTCGCTTGTCAGAACAGGACCAAGTCCCCGTCGCGCACCCCCCGTTGCGCCCTCCAAACGCATACCTACCCGCTCACACAACGTAAAGGATGAAACAGAAGGTCGAAACGAAGTTACCACGATTTAAGTGCCACCATGACGCAGATGAAAGAAAAATTCGAACCAGTGCTTACAACCGTGCAGATAGAAATAAAGAGAGAGATAAAAGTAAACATATCAGGAGAGCTCTGCTCTTCACCTTTTTATTCCTTTTTATTTCATTAACCCGTTTTGCACAATGCCAAGTAGCCAAAAAGAAAGTTTCCGTGAGTGAAATCAATTTCGATAGTGCCGTGGAGGATGTCCAATGGTGCGGCAACAATCACATGACTGTTCTGGTGAAAACAGTCAAGGGAAGACTGTACAGAAGTTCGGACGGAGGGAAAGTGTGGACCAACATTACGAGTAGTTTGTCGGAAAATCCAGTTAATAAAAATGAGCCACCAAATCCTAACAGTGAGCTAACCACCGTAGATCTTATCATGGTAAACCCAGTAAATAAAAATATAGTTCTAATTATAGGTAACCAAAAAAATCATTTCATCTCGGAAGATTCCGGAGAAACATTTCGTTTAATAAATTATAAAAATAAAATAAACTTTTGGCAATTCCATAGTACTAAGACTCATTGGGCATTGGTGTCCTCTTGGACATCAGCTTGTTACTCTACCGATGAAAAAAGTGGAGAGTGTATGCAAACCTTGTCGGTGACAAAAGATTTAGGTAGCACTTTCCAGCTTATAGATATTTATGTTGTTCAATTTAATTGGGGAGATAAAGATACCAATTCAGAAGACACAGTTTATTACACGCGACATAAAAACCGAAATGGACATCAACAGAGATTCAGTGGATGGTCAAAAGATGTAGATTTTGTAAGAACAGTCAATTTTGGAAAAAATGTAGATGTATTAGTGAAACAGGGAAATAAATTTTTAATTTCCAATGGGTATATATTTGTGGCTAGGTTAAATGATGTCATAAAGCAAACTGTAAACATGATGGTTTCAACAGATGGAGGAAAAACTTTTAATAAAGCTAACTTGCCAGAAAATATACATGAAAAATCCTATACCGTTTTAGACACCTCCGAAGGTGCTATTATGCTTCATGTAAATCATGGAACATCATCAGATAGAATCAATACAGGAAATGTATATATATCGGATGCATCTGGTCTCAATTATACTCTTTCTCTTCCAAATAATATTCGAACCTCATCAGGGGAATGTGAATTTGATCGAATACTAAGTTTGGATGGAGTGTACATTGCCAATTTTCTTGATGAAAATGATGATATAAAAGATGAAGATTTGCGATTTCGTAATTTTAATGCAGAGCTGGAAGAAGACATTAATCCATTTCAGACAAATACGGAGAAGAGGAAAAAACAGGCAGCCAAGGGTAAAAACGAGGACCTCGTTAGGACTGTAATTTCTTTTAATAAAGGTGGTCACTGGTCCTATTTGAAAGCACCCAAAGTTGATAGTAGGGGAAATAAATATGACTGTGGAGATAACTGCTTCTTACACTTACATGGTATTACAAACTATCATCAGTACGCCCCTTTTTACTCCATCGAAAATGCTGTTGGGATAATTATGGGGACTGGTAACGTAGGTAGCCATTTAAGATACGAAAGTGATGAGGTGAATACTTTCCTGTCAAGAGATGGGGGGGTTACATGGATGGAAGCACATAAAGGGCCATATATTTACGAATATGGAGACCATGGTGGATTGATAGTCATGGCTGATGACTTGCGTAAAACTAATCAAATTGTTTTCAGTTGGAATGAAGGACAAAGTTGGTTCGATTTCGAATTAGGACAATTTTCAATCGACGTTGATAATATTGTTGCGGAGCCAAATTCTTCTTCAGTTGAATTTTTAGTATATGGAACAAGAAACGATGTCGGGGTGCTTTACCATTTAGATTTTAATGCACTTGGCCAACCTCTATGTAAAGGGTTATGGGCAGCTGACTCAGTTTCTTCGGACTATGAAACGTGGTCACCTACCAGTGGATCCTTTTCAGACAAATGTATATTAGGAAGAAGAATTACTTACACAAGAAGAAAGCAAACATCTGAATGTTTTAATGGAAAAGACTTAAAAAGAACTGTTGATAAAAAGTTATGTGAATGTACACCAGAAGATTACGAATGTGAAACAGGCTTTACAAGAAAAGTGGGAAGTTACGAGTGTAAGCCGAACGACCCCACGCTGACCATCGAAGGTTGTACAAGCAGTTCTTATTTTTATGCAAATGCGTACAGAAAGGTGCCAGGGGATATATGTGTTAATGGTTGGGTCCCCGATAAGGTCCCCGTGCCTTGTCCCGCTCACGCGCCATTTAACAGAAGTAAGTGCACAATGATGGAGGGAATTTTTTGTTTGCATATCTTTTCTTCTTATGGTGCTGATCCAATGATGTACCTTCTTTGTGAGCATCGTAGTTGTAAAGGTTCCCACATGGGTTTTGCTCCATGGGTGCTTTCCCTTATCTCATTTCACCGCATTATATTATTTTTTTTTGCTCTGCAGGCGCCAAGTCCATCCTGTTCATACTGTTCATATTGGGCCTAATCATGCTCATAGTGACGTACCTCTGCCGAAACCCCAAATTTAAGCACCTCTTTTATAACTATGGTAATTACGGAATGAGCAGCCTGAGGAAAGTTTTGTCAATCTAGGCATTTGCATCATCTGCGAATATTTTTGAGAACATTTTTCAGCATGTTTTGTGCACATGCTTTATCGCGCCCCCTCTCCCCGTGCAGGTTTCGACACCTTCGAGCATGTCAAGTACTCAGTCATTAAGACGAAACGAGGAAACATAAGCACCAACGTCTTTGAGCCGGAAATGGAGTTTATAGATGCGGAGCAGGTAGGAACCAGCTGCTGAGTGGCCTTCCCCATCGTGTCGCTTATATGTGCACGATTTGTTCTGCCATGATGAACGCGTTGCACACAGGGGGCAAGCCAATTAGTAATGGACACCCCCATCTAGGCACAGGGACCCCGTAAGCGCCACACACTTCGATGTTGAAACTATGAATGTGATATTACTGATTTATATGTCCCCCTTTTAAAAAAAACACCTGTAGGACGACAATGAAGAAGATGTACCCACACTTTTGTCATATGCCAACGATAGAAACAGAACGCGAAACAGTGATTTCAGGTTAACGAGGAATCGTTCCAACCAGAATAATTATTTAACATCAAGAAATGTTTCCCCGCCGAAAAAGTACCCAGAAAATATTGAGCTCCTATGAGGAAATTCTTCATGGTATTATAGTAGCCGTAGCAGAGGTGGTCCTGTAGCGTGAGTTCCGTTGTATATTGCGGAGTGTGTACGCTTGCGGGAGGTTATTTTGTGAACGTGTGCACATTCGCTCGAGAACCCACGTGCGGGTATTATGCGTGCTGTTTTTGAGGATGCCAAGCTGCCCCGTGCGCAAAAAATGCACAAACAGTGACAGTGACATTGGCGGTGATATAATAATGTTAAAGGAAGAGGAACTATACAGTAATTAATTTTTAATGCGTATTCTCACCATGTCTATTTTTATAGTCATTCCTATTCCTATTGTAATTACCACCATTCTGCTACCATTATTGCTTCTATTAATATTATTAGTATATTATTTCCTTTTTTATGTGTTAGTAACACCTCTTTTAATGGTTCCCATAATGTGTGTGTTCCCTTTTATTAATTCCCTTCGCCATGCTCCCTGCTTTTCCTTTTCCCTTTTGCTCACATCTATGTGTAAAAAACCATTCATTATCATCTTTTTTTTTTTTTTTTTTATCATACCATGTTTTTATTATTAATGGTGAAAGCTTTGCCATGCTTAATGAATATTCGTTATCCATGTATTGTCTATGTAGGTCACATTTTTTTTTTTTTTTTTCAATTTATACAATGTAGAAAAGAAGTTGTTTTTGCGTAATAATGTTATTGCAAAATGGTTATACTGTGTACACTGATGCTGGGCACATGTGCGCGCGTACACATGTATTTGTGTATATATGTGCTCGCGTGTGTGCGCATATGTATGCATACTTACACCATCGTTTAGTATATGCCTACATTTACATGTACCCCTTGTTTTTTTGTTTTACCATCATTCCTAATTATGCTCGAAAAAAAAAAAAAAAATTAACTTCTAGCTATTAAAAAAAAGAAAATGTAAAAACATCGAATTGGACTTGTTTCCCTTATTTATTTAGTTCATTTGCGTTAAGAAAGAAAAAAAAAAATTAACTTAAAAAAGAAGTTACTAATACTATTGTACAATATACAAATGAAACAGAAAAATGTTACACAGCACGAACGCTGTTGGATTAGAATATTTTTTGTTTTTGTTTCCATTTACGTTCAAATCCCCCGTGTGATAATTTACTCACGACAGAAGGGGAATATTAAAACGTGGAAAATGTTTTTCCACCTTTTCAATACTCTTTTTAAAAGCATTTTTCTTTTTTTTAAAGAGCATTACAAGTTGTGTACACTTTCTCACAAAGTATAAAATGCCGCTATTTTTCGGTCTACTTGAACTAAACAATTATGATGAATCGAGCACTTCTTCGTTAATTGTGTTATGCGTGTGCGCGCGCCTGCATGAATATTCGCCTATCCAAATCAAAAAAACGAATTTAGCACATAGAGCACGCAGCTGCAAATGGCTGTTCTGTTGGGGATGGGCACATAAAGCCCATTTGAACTTACAATTTGTGCTACACTTCACCCCTTTAGCTTGCGCTGCACGGGCTTATCATCGGGGCCCAAGTCAAGGTCACCGCCCCACGTGGGGGGAAACCACATCGGATAAACTCGTTTGTACAAAAGGATAAAAACTTTATCGTGCTGCTTTAAGACATTACTAAAGAGGCATTTCATTTTTCCATGGGTACCCAATGATTCCAGTATTTTTCCAGTCAACCCAAATTTTGTATGTAACTGGGCAGGTTTAAAATAATTTATGTCCTCGGGCCTATAAAACATATTTCGAATGACTGCTTTTTTTTTATGAATTTTAAAAATATCTCCACATAGGCTTATTCTCTTCATAATTATCCTCTTGCAGTCACAATTGACAACTTTTCCATGTGCAACAATGACGGAGGTGGTATTCACACAATCGGTGCCATAATTAGCATATGCATCACCAGAACTGTGAGTAACATTAGGTTGTTCTCCATTGTAGTGGTATCCTTCCAGCTGCATCGTATTACCCCCATTCAGCCCAATTAATCCCATATCAGATGCACCCCCCTGTGCTGCTAAAGAATACGTATTGTTTGCATCCCCCCATGAAGTAATCCTCTTTATCAAGAAAACGGGGGCATTTGTTACTGTTGTGAAACCAAATATGGAAGCTACATATTTCTTGCCATGCTTCAAATGCTTCTCATATTTACCCTTGGATTGTATTCCCTTAATAATTTGTTCACTAAAAATAGGGCAACCCATAAAATGCCTAAATCCGCACACAATTTCGAATACCTCCTTTGACTCCACTTGTTCAGAATATGATGCCATTCGTTCCACCTCCATATTGACGACGGTCACCTTTCTCTCATAGGGCAACAAACTTGAAACGACAATCGGCAAATTCTTCTTCCTTATTTCATTTATTACGTGCAGCAATTTACCATCATTTTTTATAACAAATAAGCAGTAAGCATCCGTTATGGTAAATTCACCATTTACAATTTTAGAATTTTCCAAAAATTTTTTCTTTGAATATTTACTTAAATTTTCGTAATTTTCATAATCGTAAATGCGTGAATATGCCACTGGTAAATCTTCATACACGTCTATGTAGGACGACTTGAAGCTCTGAAGAATTCTGTACTTTTTAAATCTTTCCTTTGCACTTATATTTTTGCACAGGTAGACGTGGTCGGAATGGTTGGAGTCCCTTTCGATGTCGTCTTCATTCGTAGCACTATTCGTCGCTGCATTCGTGGGGACATTTTCCTCTTGTTCGTCATCATCATCGTCCTCGTCGCTATCCTCAGGGGAGCTACTTGCCCGTGATTCCTCACCATTTTTTAAATTATATTCCTCTTTCTTACACGTTTGATTACTCTCCAGGAAATATTTTCTAGCGTTCAAAGTTTCATTCCTGTTATATGAACATATAAAGTCTTCGCCCACTTCGTGCTTCTCGTTGGACACATATTCCCACGCAAGGTTCGAATGGAACCTTTGGTCTGTGCCTCTATATGTGTTATTGCTACTTATGTTGGTGGAGGACGCGTACAGGTCATTGAACGTATTCGGCTGCTCCACGCATGTAGCGCTGTTTGTGCCGCGGTGAAGCCACCCCTTTTGGCTACTACTCCCGTGGGATAATGCACTGTCCAAATTAAATCTATACACAAGGTCGCCTCCATCGCCAGGATGATCATCCCTGCTGTTTGACAGCCCCTCACTTGGCCCTCTGTCGGTGGTCACGTCCGCTATGCTATTATCCCTAAGCGTCATTAAATTATCGCACTGCATGACGTGCTCCTCCTCCATATACGGACGTACGCACACTAAGTCATCCTCATCATTCATGTTACACCTATTTTCACAATTTTGTATCGGCAAAAAATTATAATCAATGTTGTTACAGTTATAGTAATAGTTCAAGTCGGGGGTTGCCTGTCTTGTTAGAAAGTCACTTAACATGTTGGAATTGATTCCTTCACTTTGGTTGAAGAAATTTAAAGATCTATCAACTTTTTCATCACCATTATTGCTCTTCGACGTAATCACATCTATGACGTATATATTATCAATGTAGTAATCCCCCGCGTTTGTTATGTGTACAGGGTTCTGGGTATTAAACCCTGCCCCTTTGACAAACCCCTTCAAATATATGGAGTCCGTCTGCTCATTGTACGCATAAGAATTGACCATCATGTAACCCCTGCCCTCCCGATAAGAAACGTTTCGTATTTTCATATTCATAATTTCGCTGTACAGTTTGTAAAAATCTCCATTCTTGCTTAATCCGTCGGTGCCCCCACTATTACTGTTGATGAAAAATATTTTATCATGTTGGGTAAATTCCGAATTGAAATATCTAGTTACGAATTTTTGAGAATGTTTGCTGCTCTCATCCGTGTTATAGCCTACCCCGATGACGGATGGAACACCTTGTAGTTTTAAAAGCGATAAAAGATTGTAACCCAATTCGTCAAACGAAGAATTCTCAATTGCCCCATCCTTAAATATACACAAGACAATGTCTGCACATTTTGTTCCGTCTATAATTCCGTAAATGTCTCTTGGAATGTCGTAAATTACAAGCGATCTTTTTTTTTTTTTTTCTGCGTGTACTGTATATATATCGTACAAATTTATTGTGTCTGTTATGACATTATCTCCATTTTTTTCACACAAATATTTTATAAACTCTTTCTTAAAGGACAATACATCAGCATCTTCGTGGAATCCTAACAAGCAGATATTTAAGCTGTTATAGAAAGGTATATATTTTGATTTTTCCTCGAGTTCATTCTTTATGTTGTTCACTTTGCTATTATGAGACTGAAATGCCCGATGCAATATACTGCTGTACTTTTGGACTACATTTTTTGTTTTCTTCTTTTGCAAATTTTTCGCATTCTTATTATTCTTCTTATGGTTCTTTATCTTTTTAAAATGCTTATTCTGCTGTTTCAAATGCGGTCTATGCTTCATTTTTTAGTTTAATATGTATTTATAAAAATGGTGACAACGTTTTTTTTTCTTTTTTCGAAGCTTCACCGTGGCTGGCAATTTGCCACCAACAAAAACGGAAAAGGCGCAACGGGGAAAATGCGGCAGTCGACAGTTTCTCTACGGTCTTACGTACATATGAGCTACGCGATATAATACATATGTTGTAGGCATAGTTACTCCCGTTTGTGTGCTTTATATCCGCCGTTGTATTTGTGATGGTTAAACTTGTGATAGCAGCCCAGGCAACACGGGAAGCTCCACTAACGTTTGCAGTAAAATGGGCATAAAAAGCATACGTAAAAGTAAAAGAAGGCCTCTCAAACTGACAGCCTCGACAAAGGCAAAATGAACAAGTAGTGGGCAAAATATGCTCGTTAAAATGGTTATATTAATATTATGGCTTCCCCATGGTATCTATCCCCATACGTACGCACGTAACATTTGTTCCCTTTCCCTTTTACATACGACGTGCGAATTGCATAACGAAAAGGCAACTAACATAAAAACTTAAAAAAAATTGCAGTTCATTTTGGCAAAAATGTATGCATAAAAATAAATCAGTTGTAGGATGGAAAAATTTAAAAATTTTTAATTTATAAAAAAAAAAAAACAAAAAAAAAAAGAAACATGCCGCCTGCGTATTTTACGATTAAGTGTCGCCCACCGCAACCATATATTTTTTTTTTCACTTCAATGTATAAAAACGAAACCGGGGGAAAAAATATATATATATATAAATGCAAGCGATGCGCGAACCTTCAAAAATTATTCCTCACCACATACAAATATTTACGTCTTACCAGTGCTCCCTGTTTTGCATTAATAAAAGGATGGAAACCTTAAGAAGGAACTTACGTTGTCGTAAAAGTGGGGATGGCCACATGAATGAATAAAACGAGCATGCATATTCAGCATTACTCTATAACACCTGCCCTTGTTAAAGCATTTTTGTCATGTTCGCGCTCGGGCTCGAGCTTGTGAAAATTTAAAAAAAATAGACATTGTTATGAAAGGGCCCAAGCTACAAATGTAATGTATTTAAGAAACCGGAAGAATGGAAAAAATGGAAAAACCGAAAAAAAGTACCAGAATAACCGTCGCATATAAAAAGAAAAATTCGGCTTGCTGTTCTACAACTCCTGTCAATTACTCAACTGCTGTGTAGGTGTGTCGTATGCTCCTATGGACATGCGAAAATGCTAAAATGTACGGAAAGCTCAATGGGGAAGGTGAAGCTTTCACGTCGCGATCAGCTTATAAGGAGGAAGCAACACACTGCTGCGTAGAAGCACAGTGGACAGAAATAGCTGTTCATGGCAGATCAAAAGGAATTTCATTCTGCAACCCTAACACGGTGTGTTGGCAGTTAAAAAATAGCTGTTAGGTAAAGAAGAACGTAAACGTGCGGCTTACAGTTTAACGAAAATTAAGCATGTCCGTTAAATCAACCGCAAAGGAAACTGTTGAAAAAAAAAAAAAGAACAAAAAGTATGCCTGTTTAATTTAGTGATGATTACCATTTTGTCCGTCGCGAAAACACACCCCGACACAATCAGTAGTTAGTAAAAACATATTGTATGATTAGCGGGAAAAACTCTAATTACATGTTCAAATTTAGGGAAGCGGGGGGTCACACACGTAATATATGACCTTTATCGCATTTTACTTCCTCTTTGAGTCGTACGTAAAACTTTTTCCTCTTTTAAAATTTGACATGTTCCTGTTTTACGAATCTGTTTATGAGACAAAAAGAAAAAAAACAAATACAGACCAAAGTGCAAATGGAAATGCAGTGAGGGAAAAATGTACCCTTTTTTGTCTTGCAGTACATATACCTTCCCACATTGTAACACTGTAACAATGCCACATGGCCACGCTGACACTCTTTTCTGTATATGCATTTTTAAATATTAATTCTAAATTTTTTTTTTTGTTGCTTTTCTGAAAAATGACATACCAATACGTACCCACACGCAGCCATATATGCTGCAAATTTTTTGCTGAATTTTTTACACCAATTCAGAAACATATGCCACAAAGTGTATCAAAAGAAATAATAAAAAATAAAAAAATAAATTGACGCTTGTGTATAGCGGAAAGTACAAATGTTGTGTTATACAACTATTCCAATTTTTTTTATTTTTTAAATTACAATTGTGCGCTACTGTGCAAACGGTCAACTGCGGCATCTCAGGACAAAATAGAACATTTAAAAAAGGAAATTGTCTAAAATGTGTATGCATTTGTGCAATTGTGTCGGAAGGGTGAAAAAAAAAAAAAAAAACATAAAATAAAATACACAAATGGATAGGCAGACACATGGACAGACGAATGAAAAATTAAACGAACAACCACTGCAGACGGATTGAATTTTCGTTTTCCATTTTTTTATTTCTATGTCACGCAGTTTTTTCCTTATTGCGGAACAGACGTGCACGTTATCCTAGGTGGGTATTTTAACGCAATTGTGCGTTTTTTCGTAGCATATATGTGAACAAGTTAGAAATATGCTAAATGATTTGCTACAATAAACATGTTTTCATTTTAGAACACTTTTACGTTTCTGCGCAGATCTTTAGTTTTTTTGTTTTTGTCTTTGTCTTCTTGTTTTTGATTTTATGTATACTTTATTTTGCGCATGTAGGAGCTCGATTTTTCTTTTTTCCGATTCAAATAAAAACCGAAATCGGAAAAAAAAAAAAAAAAAAATACGGAGTTACATATGTGTCCAGATATAAAATGTACATGCATGCTCGACCATTCCAATTTTATGACCTAGCCTCATTTAGTTTTTAAGTTTCTAATTTTTGTGAGGATTTAATAGTTTTTCGCTGACAAATGAATTCACTCCATATATTCATCTGTTGAATATGATAATGAACATACAAGCGCAGCTCATTGTTTAGGCGTCTGCATAGATATGCGCTTAGACGGACACGTACACAGGCACGTAGATGGACACGTAGAACATACACACTGGCATGTTCTACGCAACTGCAAATCGACGCAACGTTCCCTACAATGTGTCCCATACGCAAAAATTAATCACTTGAATTTTCACCTCACCCAAAATTTAAGCTCAACCCTAGTATTCATCCCCCAGTAGAACTGTTCTTTACCTTTAGTTATATTTTCGCACCTTGTGTGAGTCTTGTTCTGGTTTCACATCGCTTCCTTTCATTTTGTTTTATTTTCCTCCCCTTTTATAATCGCAAAAAAACAGTAAAATGTTAAAAATTATTTTTTTAATTTTGGTCATATGCGCACGAATTCATTCTATAAATACAAAAGGGGGAAATGGAAGCGTACAAGATGGAAAACATTATGTGAAAACGGAGAGCCCAACTTATACTCCAAAGAAAAAAACCAAAGTTATTTTTTATATGCCTGGACAAGAACAGGAAGAACAGGAAGACGACAATGATCCGAATGCAAGTAATAAAAATGGAAGTTCGGGCATGGGGTCCAATAAAGGAACACATTTGGGTTCAACAACTGATGCAGGACATTCACCAACAGGATTTAATAAAGGATCCGGAGTGGGATCCGAGTCAAGGCCAGCATCAAATAACTATAAAGGACATGGCGGTGGAGGGATCCATATTGATATGTCTGCTCCTGGTGATAACTCCAATAACGGACAGCAAGGAAATGCTGGGTTCAAAAAAAATAAACAAGACACATTAAGAGACGAATATGAAAAAATTAGAAAGCAAGAAGAAGAAGAGGAAGAAAGGATAAACAATCAAAGAAGGGCTGATATGAAGAAATCTCAAGGGCGCAAAAATAAATTTGGGCATGATAAAGGAGTACAGGATTCTTTATCCAACGCGAAATATGAACTCTCAGAGCCTCAGTCAGGTCCCACAAAATCTAACGCAAAAAATAGAGGCCCTGGGGTTTATGATGAATTAGGAAATGGGCCTTACAATTTAATTGGCAAACAAAGCGAGGGGGGAACTCCTACCGCATCTCCATATGACCATTATGATAAGCATGGTTCTGATGGAAAGGGTTACGGCACATATGGTGGCTCTGATGGAAAGGGTTACGGCACCTATGGTGGATCTGATGGAAAGGGTTACGGC